GGTATGAGGTCATCAAATCCTGGACAGTTTCTTGGTATTACGAGACAGACTCGTATTTAAATCTTGTTTCAGGTGGCTTATTTAGATTTCACTCCAGCAAAGAAGGAAGACATAGGGGTAAAAATCCAGGTTCGTCATTTGACTTCCTTGATACCCAGTTGGGGCTTCAGTGGTAGCTCAGATGGTAAAGAATCTGCCTGCAATGCAGGAAACCTGGGTTTGATTCCTGGGTGGGGAAAGAGCCCCTGGAGAAGAGAATAGCTTGGGAGAATGCTCCTCATTACTCTGGATTGGTTCCCGTTCTAATCATAGGCTTCTAATGGCACCTCCCTGCTCCTGCTCCCAACAAGGCCTCCACTGATACCACAGGGAAGAGACAGGTGGTCTCTTCGAAAATCCTGACTCTCTAGTAGGCTTCCACTGACTCTATCCCAATGCAGAATGGAAGGGGGTATCTCATTACTGGAAGGTTAGGGGGATAAGCCCAGGCTTCTTATTTGCTCTCTACTTTATTGCTTGTTCAACGGGTCCTCATTACAATCTAACAGGAAGGAAAATCTTGGCTCCCTATTCAAATCCCTCTGACACCACCCTGTGGGAAGAGGGTTAGGATTAAGCTCCTCCTTAAAGCCTAACAATTGTGGAAGTCTAAACTTCCCACTCAGCCTTTGCTGTTGGCAGTGGGGCTGGGACCATGGATTTTTCTGTGTCATTTGTCTGGAATGGAGCCATCTAAAAGTTTCATGTCTTAAGCTGCTCCTTCCTAAACCTTTGGCTTGAGAGGTCAGGCTTGTTATTTGTTGTTGTTGTTGTTGTTGTTTTCCTTTTCAGAGGGTTTAGTTTCGTTGTGATTTGCTTTGTCTGCAGTTGTTGGCACTTCTAGGTTGTCAGCTTCTTTAGACACAAATCTAAGACATGTGAGGGTAAAATAAAGCCAAGGTCTCACTACATTGTTTCTCAAGTCACAAGTTCCCTAAAGTCAATTTTCCTTCTTATCTCCATCTTTTAGTCTTACATTTGTTTTAGACATAATGCCTAAAATGTTCAGTTCTACTTAGTGGGAGGAATAGAGAATAGTATGTCATCTCTAACTTCCTGGAGAGAGAACTCAACCCTTTGAAAAAATTTAAGCAACGAAGTTCTGCATTAATCTTTGCATTTTAGATGGATAGGGAGGAGAGCTCAGAAATTAGAGTTTGGGTAGAGATGGCCTGGAAAGCCGTCTGAAGGCAGGAGTATTTATTAGAACATGGTCTAGACTGGCTCTGAAATATACAACTGGAAAGCACAGGCACAAGTGAGATCAGAGGCCAAACATAGAATACACACCAGTCAGCAACATGCTTACTAAACTGTCACAGCCTTGACTATGTGGCAGGAGGCATAGAAACAAGAGGACACTTTTGACAGGTGCTAAAATATGGGAATACCAGACCGCCTTACCTGCCTCCTGAGAAATCAATATGCAGGTCGAGAAGCAACAGTTAGAACTGGACAGGGAACAACTGACTGGTTCAAAATTGGGAAAGGAGTACATCAAGGCTATATATTGTCACCCTTATTTAATTTATGTTAAATAAGAATACATCATGTGAAATGCCTGGCTAGATGAATCACAAGCTGGAATCAAGATTGCTGGCAGAAATGTCAATAACCTCAGATAGGCAGATGACACCATCCTAATGGCAGAAAGCAAAGAGGAAATCTTGATGAAAGTAAAAGAGGAGAGTGAAAAAGATGTCTTAAAACTCAACATTTAAAAAATGAAGATCATCACATCCAGCCCCATTACTTCATAGCAAATATATGAGGAAAAATGGAAATGGTAACAAACTTTATTTTCTTGGGCTCTGAAATCTGGCCAGACTTCTTACAGGCAGCTGGACTCCTCTCAAATAGCATCTTATAGCAGTCAACAGAAGGATTCATTGAAAGTTCCTCAAACATGTTTTGCCCTGTCATTTCACATCTGAGAGCAAGGAAATCAAACCAATCAATCCTAAAGGAAATAAACTCTGAATATTCATTGGAAGGACTGAGACTGAAGCTCCAATACTTTGGCTACCTGGTGTGAAAAGCTGATTCATTGGAAAAGACACTGGTGCTAGGAAAGATTGAGGGGAGAGGGAGAAGGAGGTGACAGAAGATGAGATGGTTGGATGACATCATGGATTCAGTAGACATGAGTTTGAGCAAACTCCGGGAGACAGTGAAGGACAGGGAAGCCTCGAGTGCTGCAGTCTATGAGGTTGTAAAGAGTCAGACATGACTGAGCAGATGAACAACAAGAACAAAAAATGTAAATCAACAAAATGTGGTAAGCAATAGAATATGATATGTAAGGAGAGTGAAGTTAGAATCACTTCTTGATTCTTAGTTTAGCCGACTGAGTAAAAGCAGGTAACATTAACAACACTGAAGAGTACACAGAAAGAAATGTCTATGGAGGGAAAAGTGGAGATTGTGAGTTCATTTCAGAGCACCTTGACCATAAGGGATGCCTGGGCCATCTGAAAGTCCCTAATAATAAGCTGGTGCTTAGCAGGAAGGTTAGACATAGATAGGAGGAGTTAGGAGCCTGGGTTTAATTAGTAATACTCAAATCCAATTGCAAGGAGATTATTCAGGAAATAAAAGCAGAATGAGAAAAGAGGGCTAAGAACAAGACTCTATTATCACCCAATATTGAGAATCAAAGTAAAAGAAACCAAGGGAGGAAACGGAAGACAGGATGTCAGAGGGGCAGAATGAGAACAGAGAAGTAGCGTCCAATTTAGTTCCATAAGCGCCCACTACATGTTTAGTGTGTATTGTCTACTACACTGAGACTGGCTTGTGAGGCCCTCACTTTACTAGATATAACTTCAGAATAGTGGGGTCAGCTAACTAACAGACATAAATTCAAGGGGCAATGGAACCACAGAAAGGGGAACTGAGCAGTCAAAGACTTTGAGAAAATTTTCCAAGTGATGATTACATCGAATCAGAGTCTACAAGATAGCTGGGATTAACCAGACAAGGAAAGACAGAGGGAAACTCATGTAAGGCAAAAGAAGCAGCCTAAACAATAGCAAAAGGACATGAGGACTCAAGAGAGCAGAGAGAATTACCATCACCGAACACAGTCACCAGGGTTGATGCCACTGAGAGAAAAAATCAAACTGAAGAAGATCCTTGACTTTGTCCCTTACTAAGCCACCACTGATCTCTGATACAGTAGCTTTATGAAACAATGTGGAGAAAAACTGGACTTCACTGGGATGGAGAATAACTGGAAGAATATAAAGTTCAGACAATATGGGAAGGGTATTTTTTCCAAGGACTCAGTGGAGAAGAATATAAAGATGGGATAGCTAGAAATGTGCAGAAGTCTAAAAGGCTTTGTTTTATGATAAGAGAGAATTGAGGATTTTATAAGTTGTAGGAAAGAAACCCAAGTGCACAGATAAGATTTAAAAGGTTAAAAAAAAAAATCACTCTTTTGTACAACAAATACTGATAGAACATCTACACTGTTCTTGAGCTCATCATTTCAAGATAAAGACAAACAACAGAGCCCTTTTAATGATGTTACAACTATGTTTTAAATAAGCTTAAAAAATAAAAAAGGCCAATGGTAAATGCACAAAAATTACATGTACTATAGTCCTAAAGGCAAACTAATACTTATAAATACTTATCAACATAATGGCATCTTTGGCTTTGTCATTTTATATTAGCAATTCCACAATTTATTATAAGTATTTAGTGTTAAGGCTTATTTTGTTTACTTCAAAGGGAATTATTATTTTAATAAAAAACACTTATTCTATTGCAAGAATTTCAGTATGGGACACAATTGTCAAGATTATCTTATGTTTTAATTATTACAAATACCACAGGACATATTAAGTCTACAGACAGAGGCACAGAATAAAAGATGAGGAGTAGTACAAGGTGGCATAATATTTGTGTCAAAGTTTGCCTTAATATCTCTGAGGATTTCAATACAGAAAACCAGCCAGCCGAAAATGTGGGAATAATCATGCTTTTAAATGCTGGCTGGGACTAGGAGATTGCCACAAAGATTAACAACAGTCTCTGATTTTTTTGGAATCATTGACTTGCAGAATGTTAAGATCTTAAAGAACTTTGACATAATCTAATACTATTTTCCACACCTCACATATAAAATTCTCTTCTTCAGATTCCTCTCTTGATTTTGAAAGACTTTAAGTGAAAGAGAGCCTTCTATTTCAGAAGCTGCCTATTCTACTAATGAACAGTTAAATTTTCTCTAATTATGCCCAAAAGATAGGTCTCTGGAATTCCACATTACTACATTACTATGTGGCAACTCTTTAAATGTCAAAAGATTCTTAACATATATGCACACTAAATATTATTACTATTAGCAGACTAACCATTCACAATTCCTTCATTGCTTTCTTGTATGACATTTTCACTCTATTCTCTTTCATCCAAATGCTTTCTAATAAGTTAATTATTTTTTTCTCCTCCTCATTAAACTGAACATAAATTTCCAAATGTGAAAAGGGAAATAAGATTATACTATTGCATATCGTGACTATTTTTTAAAGTCATCCTATCAACCACTGATGTTTGAACTACAGACAATTATAATCACAGGGATTTAACTACATAAATTGCAACCAACTCAAATTTCCCTGACTTCATTTTTGCAATTATATTTTTAATATAATTATAAAAGGATTTCCATATTCTCCCATCTTGTGTGTTTTAAAAAAAAAAAGGTGAATCTCTGTTTTGTGATGACTGTTTTCTAAGGTTCTAAACCAGGATCAGTCCAATGATATTTTCTAGAAAGGGATAGACATGAAGCTTTTTAGTGTATATTTTTCAGAATATAATTTTATGGCTTTGTTCAACACAATTTAAATAGTTGTTTATTTTTTTCTATATATTTCTCTGTCTTATGAAATCATATTTTTAACTGGAAGAAGACATAAAAATGTTCCCTGTCCCCATTCAATTTTTTTTTGTTCCTACTTAGACTACTTCTCAGAAACTTTCAGTAAAATTAACACTATGTATATGTGGTATGATTTTATTACCTCATATAAAACTGTAGTATTTCCATGTAGAAGAGGTCCATAACAGATATAGGAATGTCCAACAACCCAGCCTAAGTCGGAAGCTGCCCACCACACCTAAACAATAAGAAGAAAATAAAATGCATATATCTTAATCAGATAAATGTCATGTAATATGAATTTAAAACCACGATTACCTCTCCAGGTTTAAGTCCATATATGGAAGACATCGACCAGTTAAGCATTACAGCATATCCTCCAGTGGGCCTCACCACACCCTAAAGGAAGGAAGAGATGAAGTTAAAATCAATAAACACTGTGTTAAAAGACGCTCTTTCTCCATACTATCCACTTAAGAAAAGCTCCTGTTTAAAGTATCTCATATTCTAAAGCTATAAATAACTTTGGCTGTCATGTATTAATAATTGTATCTGAATCACTATTTCTTTGACACCTCCAAAAACAAACACAGAATAATTTGTTCGTACCAGTCCATTTGTAGAATTCCTTCTCACAGACCATTCTGGACTTTCTAAAGAAAACATGATTTCACAGAATCACATTCAAAAAAAAAGAGAAATTTCCAGGGGTAACATCAATTATCAACACTGCATTTTAACACATATTTCCAGAACAAAAAAAAAAAAACTTTCAAAATTAAGTCCACAGGAAGGTCAAAGAGAGCTGTGTGCCTAAGACACAGACTACCATGAGTATTTCTTCCCTGATAGTATTAAATAATAATAGGATGCCTAGAGGAAACAGTCATATTCTAACTGGAGTCTTATTAAAATGCTAACCTGAAGGACCATGCTATTGCAGTATTAGAGCTGAGCAGTTCTTTAGGTCTAACTCCTGCTGAGTTAGATCTAAGGCCCACAGATTTCCCTTATGTTACATTTTGGGGAAAAGTAGGGACTGTTACACCACAGCACCACAGCTTTCATGAATCAGTTTGTGAGCAGGTATTCTTGACAGTGAATGTGTTCAATGTTAATACAAGATTAAGATTTGAAAAGTAAGTGCAAGAGTCATCACAGATAAGAACTGACAGCAAATTTAATAACTAATTTCATTTATTGCTTCATTATAACCATTAATCATTATTGGCTCACAATGACTTCAGGATGTGAATATTCAGAGCGAGAAAGTGGATGCTTGCTAAGAACTATGTTACAGTTCACTCACAAGTATTTTCAAACATCTCTTAGTAGAGCAACTATAATCACTCCGTGAAGAAAATAATTATTTTACCTGAAAGGGCACATATGGTTCTAATTAAGGAACGTGCTACTGGTTGAACTATTTTGGCACAGCTCTGTAACTATAACACACATACATGAGTCAGGAGAATGAAAACAGAGTTGACTTTCTGTTTGTTACTAAAATTGCTGCTTTCCTCAGGTACCACTAATAAAACTTAGCTATCAAGCTGTGGAATACATTTTATCTATCAGCAGTAACACCTGGTCTCCTGGCAAATGTCACAGGGAGCTTTGCTGGCATTTGACAGGTATGCTTTCTAGCTTGTATGACATGGTTAGCATGCAGCTGGCTCTTTTGATCACCTTGGGAGAATTAGAAATCCTAAGCTCCTGCCAATAATTTTCACACATGCATTTTCCCATATAAACTGGGCAGGTCTTCAATCAGCATATACTGTACACGTCTTCCATGTACTTTGCTAATTTTTTGTCTTATTGAAAAGGTCTTTTCCTACAGTTCAAAATCTTGATGAATTTGACATGAATCAATTTGCAAACACTCTTTTCTAAAAAGTTTTATTCATCTGGTAAAGGATAAAATAGGAGGTTTTTTCATAGACAATATGCTATCAATATTCTGTGAAATTTAATATCAGGCATGATTTCACTTAAGATGTTTTTAGAATTTCTCTTCACCTGTCTGTTGTCCCTGAATTTAGAGGTCATTTTTAATTAATTATTCTAAATATCATTACAAAAGGGTAAATTTTTTTATATTAAATGATAGAGAATAAGAGTAATCAACTGGAAATGATAAGAATAAAAGGCTAAAGAGAACATAAATGACTAGTAATTCATTTGTAAAACTTAGAAGATAATTTAAAGGACAGGTTGTCAAATTTCCACTAACCTCTCAAGTGAACCCTTCTGTAAAGGTTATTTACCTGTGTTGCTTCGTCTATAAAATGGTGGCTACTTAAATCCATTTGACCCCAAAAAATTTAGACAAATTTTTGTGAAAATTTGCATGAAAAAACTTAAAATTATACAGTCAATAATTTAACATCTTACAAGCAAAATTATTTCATTAATTTCTAGCAATTACTGTTATTTTTCCCCCACACAAAAGACAGAAATGTCAAAAAATTAGAGCTTATTATCAGGGATTCTCATTAAAAATGATGAAAACACAGCTAACAGAGACAGAAAAGCCATGGCTGTTTATCATTGATCTTTAATATCCACTTACTTTTAATTTTTTAACAATGAGTATAAAATTTTCTTCTGGCATCATTTCTCTATTCATTAATCTAGATTCTCAATATGAAATTTAGTCTTGCCTCTAACATATTCAGATGACAGGTTTCAATTTTCTGGTTATTTAGTACAGTGTAGGAAAAAACTGCATAATATACACTCCATGTAGGTCTTTCATAAGAAGTTCAAGAGTAAAAACACTGAAAGATTAGATTCAAAAAGATTGTTTCTTTCTTATAATAGTAACGTGGTTAAAATTAATATGATAAAACATTTTTGTTTCTAATCATATTTTCCAGGTAATGATAATTAAAATGCAACAGATAAACTCTGTTCAACCTCTGAAAATACATAAACCGTGCTCAAAAAAACCCCACAAATTATTATATTCCAGTATGCGAAATTAACCAGAAACAAAAAATGGCATTTTGAAGTATATTTGAGTACGAGGCAAAAATACTGTTGATCATCAGTGCTTACTTACCCCTACAACACAAGCATGCTGCATTTCACTCTTTTGAGTCTGTTACTTTATGCACTTATATCCTACCTTCCTTAAAAGTAAAGACATTAGATGACCTAATATATTTTCAGAAAAGCCCTATAGCCTCCCAATACGCTGCTTTGGATTTTGTAGGATCAGCATAATACTTAAATTCTTCTGGAAAACTTAAAGACATTCAGGTGGGAATAAAACTCTGTGCCCCAAATAAAGACACAAAAGTGAATTCTATCTCAGTACAAAAGGTGACAATGTGAAGGTGTTCTTTAAACAACACAAAACACTTTTAATGTATACAGATATTCAAAAAATTCAGTCCACACAAATGAAACTAAAGGCTAATTATTTATCCCCCAGGAATGAGACAACAGTTAATCCCAGATGGTTCTTTATGGTTTCCAGTTTAATGAGCTGCCTTTGAACAAAGAAAGCCACAAAATATCATAAGTGGGTCAGTTAATGTAAAACAGAAAACATGTTTATATCAAGTGTGTACTGTTTGGGTGCTACAATTCAAGAAGAATGCAGTTGGAATAACATCAGTTGTAGTACAAAAAGGAAGGAAGATTGAGATATGCGGTTAAGAGTTTGGGAGTCTTATCCGAAAAATGTGTTTTAACAGATCTATAAAAATTTGAATGGCAAATCTCAAAATATTCAGGTAGGAGAAGTCTACATAGAGTAACCAACAAAACATAGCCCCACTATTAACTTGTGCTGGGAGTTTAGTCACTCAGTTGTGTCTGACTCTTTGCAACCCTGTGGACTATAGCCTTCCAGGTCGGATATTCCCGACCCAGGGATCGAACCCACATCGATCCTGCGTCTCCTGCATTGCAGGCAGATTCTTTATCTGCTGAGCCATCAGGGAAGTAATAAAGACTTGTACAAAGACAAACACACAAATATACATACATATATATCCATTCACACATACATATGTAAATACATATGCATATATGTCTATAGGTACACATGCATATGCATTATGCATTTGTTTAGTATGTATGCATGCTTATATATACATTTCAATTCAGTCTGGCAAATTAAGCAAAAACAAAACAAGAAGAAAGAGGAAACAAAAATATTACCTGAAAAAAAGAAACCCACCACCATGGGACCATTGCAGTCAATGAGTTGAAAAGTATGCTCACTTAAAAATCCAACAACCAACAATACTCTTGTTCTTATGGCAGTTTTACAGACGATATCCCCTCTTCCCCAAATGAACCCCCTTACCCTTTTGCTGCACCTGGTTATCTCCTAACTCATCACATGAGCACTTAACAACCTTGTGAAAGTGCCGCCTCTTCTGGAAGCCATCCGAACCCACTGCTTGTGTTAAAAGCCCCTCCCTCCTCTTTCACGGCCACAAGCCCTGCAAACGTCTCTGAGCCTCTGGCCACTAACAACATCCACCCACTGCTCAGTCTCCTCCTCCACTCCAGCGCCATAAGATCGCCTTTGTACCTTCAGCATAGAACAGACAATTAATACATATGTCGACTAATTTCAAAACTGAACAATTAAATGAATAAGCAATATATGAAAACTATAATTAAAAAATATTATTCTTTGTTCAAGAGAAATCCTTGAAACTTACAGAACTTAATGCCATATTAGTAGAAATAGAACAATTCCATTTGGTATATTTCTTCAAACATAAAATCTCTTACTGCAGGCTTTCTGATAACTCTGAAGCCACCTCCATGGATGACACTTCAGCAGCTAATGCTGCTGCTAATAAGTCGCTTCAGTCATGTCCAACTCTGTGCGACCCCATAGACGGCAGCCCACCAGGCTCCCTGGTCCCTGGGATTCTCCAGGCAAGAACACTGGAGTAGGTTGCCATTTCCTTCTCCAGCAGCAGTATAATTTTTTTCTGGATCTGAGCAACTGTGAGATCAGGGGCAAAGGTGTAGCGAGTTCAGCCTTTAGCTGCAAGAATTGTGAAAGTGGCTCAGTTGTGTCCCACTCTTTGCGACCCCTTGGACTGTATAGTCCATGCAATTCTCAGGGTCAGAATGCTGGAGTGGGTAGCCTTACCCCTTCTCCAAGGGAGCTTCCCAACCTACAGATTAAACCCAGGTCTCCCACATTGTAGGCAGATTCTTGACTAGCTGAGCCACAAGGGAAGCCACAAGAATTGTACTACAGATTAAAAAATTTTTTCACAGGTTTTTTTTATTTAACTTTCTCTTATTTTTTGCTACAATCTAGAATATAAATAAGTCACCTAAAACACAGGAATAAAAGTTGGTATAAGTTATAGAAAACACATCAGAGCAAAGGCCTTATCTACCACCTTCCTGTTATGTCTTCCTTTCTAATTCTTTCCCCCACGCTGCTGTGACACATTTTTTTTTCTTTTTTGATTATCACCATACCTCCATGACAGCAAGCTGGAAGAATATGACCATCACTAAATCTCCCATTCCCAAAATGACACCCCATCCAGGTGAGGTATTCTTCTATTGTGTAGTTCCTTTAAGTAACTTGAATATAGTCAACCAAACCAAACAGACTAAACATGCATAACAATATTCAGAAATGTATGCAAAGCAGCTCAGTCATAGAATATGCTAGAATATGTGCAGCAGCTAGCAAGATCAACCTGTCATACAACAATCTGACAAATCCCAAGTTGGCAGATGCAGAAATGTAAATAGGCCCTAAATATATCTGCAAATTCCAGTCAAAGAACAGACTGAATTGTGTGTGGCTTATATGCACCTATGGGAAATGAGCAGTTTTAAGTAGAATATTTTTATGGGCTCACAACACTATTTTTCTTCATGTAGATCAAGAAAACAAACTAAATGATAACATGAAATTTATATTTAAATGTTTCATGTATGCTCATCTTTCCTGTACTTCTATTCCTGGGATCTCAATATTAAAAATTCAGATTCTATTAATCCTGATTATACCTACCAAAAATGAAGCGAGAATCTTATGAATAAAGGGGCATCAGGATACTAAATATTTTGTAATAATCTATAATGGAAAATAATATTTTAAAAGAATATATATTTATACATATGGGATTTTTGGTTCACATAGTTTTTATTAAATTGTGAATTGATTTTAACATATATATATTCATAAATGATTGAATCACATTGATGTACACCTGAAATTAACACAATATTATAAATCAACTATATTTCAATTTAAAAAATAAGAGGCATCTGGAGCTAACTGGAAAAGTAGATTATTAAATATTTTGGATCTGCTATGGCCCAGTTCTAAGGTTAGTGCCATAGTAGATTCAAAGGTGTATGAAATATATTCTACAATGTTAGAGAACATGCAATGTTACGAAGATAAGTAAATGAAAAGTAATATATTTCAAAAGTAGGATAAAATAAGTGGCAAAAGTATTTGTTGGTAACATATACTTTCAATGCAATTGAAATTCTGAAGTCCACTGAAGGGATAAGAGAAATATTTCTGAAAGACCTGGAAAATTGACTACTTTGTCTTGCCATTCTGCACGTCTTTCTCTGTAAAACCTACTCGATCCCATGAATTAAACACTACACCTCTACAGCTGATGATATTCCAAGGGTCCATCTCCAAACCCAGATGTATTCTTGGACCCAGACCTTCATTTCCAACTACTGGCTGGGCATTTCCATGTTAATGTCCCAAAGAGACATCATACTCAGTATTCATAAAACCTCCCAGTTTTCCCAGCCCCAAACCATTCTCCTTTGTTTCTAGTTTAGTAAATAAACAAAACCACTTTCCTGTGTTCTCAGGTTCAAAGTCTTGTACTCTTCCTCTGTCTTACTCTTATTCTTGCTTGCTCCCTAATAAATGGTCCAAAGCTAAGCCCAGCTTGAAACCCAGTCTCCTTGCTACCGTTGTATAATGGTGCAAGGGTTACCTTCCTTCATATTTTTGTCTCTTTCTTAGGAAACAGTGCTCTCCATTCCTTACAGGCAGTATATAACCTAAACTTCTTGGCTAAATTTTAAACAATTGGCCCCTGCCTATAAGTCTGGCCATTTCTCTACTTTTTTTGCACCAACTGCAGACGCCATTCAAGAACCTTACATGCTCCTGTCTTTATTTATATTGTCCCAATCAACCTGGAATGCCCTCCTCCCCATGAAGTCACCTGATGAAAAATTTCTACCCATCCTTCAAATGTCATACCATCGAGTGCTTTCCATGACATCTCCCTGATAAAACAGCATTCTTACTCTCCCATCACCCTTACTCTGTTTTATTTTTCCTCATAACACATCACCTACTACATAGCTCTTTGTTCAGTGCCTGTATCCAGCCACAGAACTCTAAACAGATGGTCAGATATGTATTTGGGTGCTCAGTAATATTTGTTGAACTAATGGAATTTAATCCTTCAGATGCCATTCAAATTCATCTTTTCTTCAAGAGACACAAGTAGGGTTTCTTCCTCTTAGGGAAAGATCACAGTCTATCTTACATTATCTATATTGATACATATTGCAACCCCACTATGCTGAAGGCACTGTGGTTTACTAATTTTTTATCTCTTTTAGCTCCTAATGAACATCCATGAACTAAATTCAATGTGAATAGAAATCTTCAAACAATTAAAGCTTTCTCCAATATATAGAAATAGATTTATCTTCAGGATGGTATTACTAATGTAATAAAAAAAAATGAGGATGATTAAAACATCAAGCAATCTTCAGTTTGGGCAGCTAAGAATTCCACAAAGTACTTCTTGACCCAGAGAAAACATGTGATATCTAGGTTTCTTCCTTACTTGGAATCATCACTTTTCAGATTTAATGCCCTATATGTTACTTTTATTTTCCACTACACTAGCTGAGTCTCTTTCAAGCTGATGGCAAACTCTTCTGCACTCTCATATAGATCCCCATCCAGGCAACAGTGAATTTCAGTGATTAAAAGTCTCAAGGTAGCACCGAAAGTTTTTATAAGATTCCTTCAGGCTTTTAAGGAGCTAAACTGAATTTTTTGTTTTTGTTGTTGTTAGGTTAAACTATGTTTTCAGGGTCAGTGGTTTCCTCTCATGTTGATACTTTTATATTAGACTGTAACTTGCTGAGTCCCTTTTATTTCATAGCCAACTGTTCATTTGCTGCAACATAAGAAAAATTTATTTTTCAGATGACTAGAGTTCTTAAAAAAGCACAAGGCAATTCTACAATGACACAAATATTCTTATGTATATGCATTAATTTATTTATTCACACAACAAAAGTGTGAGTACCAACTACATACAGAACACGATGGTAGACCAAAATGTAACAAAACACTGTGTCTGTAGTCCGAGAGAATATATCCTTCTATCAAATGTTTTCTTTTTCACAAGCAAGTGAATTTCATATAAAATGTTTTAAGTCTTGATCTTCCTTTATTTAAGTCTAAACTAATAGAATCACAATTTTTAGAATATTAACAGATTATGGTTCAGAATTCTGATGCTATAGAGTTCCAATATTAATAGAGGCCAACGTCATACAGGATTTGAGTGATTGTGAAAAGTCCCTTTGCCCAGTAACATTCTGTGATTCAATGAATATTGAACTCCCTAATATAGATGAAAGATGATTGCACAAATCTTTATGAAGTTATATAAAGAAACAGTGTTATTTGGAGATGCCAGGCAAATGTGGTAATGGTTTGGTATCTGACACGTTCAAGAATATTGACATTTTTAACTTTGCTTTGTGAAAACACCTTTCAGGGTAAAAAGATTTAAAAATCCTTGAGTGTCTTCAGTGCTGTAAATCAAATAGCTCAACACTCTGGATAAATTACCTGTTGTTCAAACTGTCTAGGCCAGTTCTCCAAGTTGCATTTATAATGATAAATTAAATTCCTCTAAATCAAAAATCAATTTCATACTATATGAAAGATATACCTCAATTTAAAAAAAAAATAAAAATATTTCACTTAAAATATATTTTATAAAATTTTATTAAGCCAACTGATACTCAATCAAATATATTTTAATTTTAATAGCTTACTAAAGCAATTGAATATTGCTGATATTTGTGAAGATTTTTAATGAAATAAGGACAAAGCATTTGGCATTAAATATAATGAATATTTCTATATATTTAGACACAATATTTCTTTTAGATATAAACTACTTAAGCCTAAACCTCAAGATAAAGTCTGCAAACATTTTCAATCAGTAATCAAATATTCTTGGTGCAAAAAAATCTGTCACTATAATTACCCTTAAGAGAATGCCTACTTTGGCTACCTGATGGGAAGAGCTGACCCATTGGAAAAGACCTTGATGCTGGGAAAGACTGAGGGCAGGATGAGGAGGGGGCGACAGAGGATGAGATGGTTGGATGGCATCACCGACTCAATGGACGTGAGTTTGAGCAAACTCTGGGAGATAGTGAAGGACAGGGAAGCCTGGCGTGCTGCAGTCCATGGGGTCACAAAGAGTCAGACACGACTGAGTGACTGAAGAATGCAGCAAGGGAGAACATACCTTTGGCAACCCTGTCGTTCCAGATGTGTAAAGGATATACAGTGGATGTTCAGAAAGAACAGGAACACAGTCATGGGACTGTGCTTTTGCGATCTCTTCATCCCAATCAAGGTAACAACCTGGAGCCAAAGGAACCATTTCCTACAAAACAAAAACACAGAAATATGCACTGAACAAAAGAGATTACATCAGGAAAACGCTGGAGAGTAACTAAATCTATATCAGTCTGAGTGTCTGACTGAAATCTAGGCCTAGACAGCTAAATATCAGACCTATAACTCAATATCTCAGGGTCTTGAGTTAAGATAAATGTTCATAAGAAATTCAACAGTTTGATGTTGACTTCAACTGAACATATCACAGAAAATGTTTTATTTAAACCTAGAGATATATTTAAGAAATTAAATGTGATGCAGGCATGACTTCATCAACCGTAAAAGCTTAACTAACAGAGGTTCATGTTTCTACAACTGTATGTACACTATCAACTTTAAAAACTAACTTCTATCATAATCTATTTCTTTTTACTTTGGAACTACTGTCTTCACAATGAAATCTCAACTAACCTACTAAAGTTTCTCTTTACACAAGGGCCAGTTAAGGGTAATACTGTGGCCATTTTTCCAAACGGGAGAATACTAAATCACTTTCAGGGGAGGAGGGGTAATCTACTTTCACTTTTTTAAGAACAAAATCAGTTCTGAAATTAATGAGAGTATGAGACATGTATAAAATGCTACCCAAGTTTTTCTCCATCAACGATAGTGACTAATATGGTAGAAATGCTTGTTTTCTTTTTTGTTCCTAGAACCAAGCTCTGTGTTATAAACTCTATGATAATTGAGCCATGAATTGGACAGACACATCTTAAGTTAGACAGGTTTCTTCAAAAGGTGCCAGTGAAACAAGCCAGGGAAGAAGAAGAAAGTGGCTTACGGAAAAATTACTGTAGCCGAGAGTTATAGCTATCTAATTAGAGTTATGATCCAGTACATGTCTAGTTATTTTCTGAAATGTTGACTAATCTCAAGATGACAAAACAGGAAATTTACAGTTGGTGAACCTGTTGGTAAAGGCACAAGGCAAGACTACACACTCCTCACTGAAAATAAGTTCACCACCTAGAGAGCGTGTAACCATTACATTTCATCCAGGAAATGCCTCAGCTAAATTCAGAGACACTGACAGATTGCTTAAAGCCAGGTCATTTCCGTTTCTCTGGTTCCTTAATTTATTGATTGGGTTGTAAGAAAAGGTCATATATTTAAATGGATACAATTACAAATTGATACTTCAGTATACTAATAGTATCACAAATATAAAGCCTATGTAGCACATTGATAGACAATAATCTGAATGGACCTTCAAGAAGGGGAAGTTTTAGGCTTAGCCTCACCATGGATGTGTCCTGGAGGCACCATTTAGAGAAATAAATATAATTAACTGTGATCAAACTGTATATTTCCATTTCCACTTGTTTTTATGCATCAGATAAATACAACTCATCTCAAATATTCAAGCCTAGGGCATCACAGTTACAGACCTATAAAAAAAATCATCACACTGTATAATAAAAAAATGTCAATTGAGTAATCACAAAAATAACTGCAGTTCAAATGAAATGAGGATTTGAATGAAGGGTTATTCTTCAGGCTAAGAAATGCAGGCATGTTTAAAGAAGATCTAATGAGAGGAAGACAGGGGGGAAATCAGCATTAGCCTTTTCATACATGCATTTACTTCTATAGACATATCCTTCCTAGTTGTTATCACTCTTGAAAGGCAGTCCTGGGGCAGCACAGCAGGTGACTGATGTGACCCCCAGTTGAGCCCTCACGGCCTCCCTGAGGCTTAGGAGTGGCAGCCAGGTTTTTATCTCCTCTGGCAAAAAAGCAGTCCTAGTTATGAGATGCATCACTGAGCCTCATAATTTGTATCTTTTCTAAACTCAAAGCAAAGCCAATCCACTGGGCTTAATTACTGCCTCAACAGAAAGTCAAATATGAAGGACAAGAAACATCCAACTAAAATAAAGGAAAGTCAAAACAGAGGAAAGGTCTCAGGAAAAATAAGGAGAGGGAGAAAGCAAACTAGTTATGAGAGGGGGGAAAGGGACAGTGGATCTCTACCTAGTAAGAGGAAAGAGAAGACTATCACCTTTTTTAATCAAATGTACATGGATTTAATATTAATACTTTATTTACAAGGCAGAGACGGTCAGACTGGATGAAAAAAATTAAGATCCCAAAATGTTATCTATGAGAGTTTTTTTTAAATGCAAACACATTACTGATAAAAAGAAAGACATGGGAAAAAGTCACATCGTGCAACCAAAAGTACAAGATTAAATAGTTATATATCAAAGCAGATTTGATAAAATACCAAATGATAAAGAAAATGAGCAACTAGAACTCTCATAATTTTCTGCTGGAATAGTAAAATGATTATGTCCACTATGTAAAATTGTGTCAAGGTTCTTAGTAAGTCAAATATACATCTACTATATGAATCAGCAATACTACCTCTAGATATTTACATAAGAGAAATGGAAACACATGGTGTTAGTTCTAAAAGGTCTTGTAGGTCTTCATAGAACCGTTCAACTTCAGCTTCTTCAGCATTACTGGTTGGGGCATAGGCTTGGATTACCATGATATTGAATGGTTTGCCTTGGAAACGAACAGAGATCATTCTGTCATTTTTGAGATTGCATCCAAGAACTGCATTTCGGATTCTTTTGTTGACCATGATGACTACTCCATTTCTTCTAAGGAATTCCTGCCCACAGTAGTAGATATAATGGTAATCTGANGTTCATTGGAAGGACTGATGCTGAAGCTGAAACTCCAATACTTTGGCCACCTCATGCAAAGAGTTGACTCACTGGAAAAGACCCTGATGCTGGGAGGGATTGGGGGCAGCAGGAGAAGGGGACGACAGAGGATGAGGTGGCTGGATGGCATCACTGACTTGTTGAACATGGGTTTGTGTGGACTCCAGGAGTTGGTGATGGACAGGGAGGCCTGGCGTGCTACTGTCATGGGGTCGCAAAGAGTCGGACACGACTGAGCAACTGAACTGAACTGAACTGAACCCTTCCCCCAAGTCTTTCTTACTCAAAGCCTTCTGTGTTACTGGCTTTACATTCCCCGACTCAACAGCAACAAGCCTTTTTTAAAAGCATGCTGGAGGTCATCTGAAAGAAATTTCAAATTCTTCTTCAAGACATTGAAAATATCAAAATCCCTGAGTGCAGCCTTTCATGAAGAACCACAGACCTCTCAAACTACACTGGAGTGGAAAGTGGTAATGGGACTTCCTAGGTGGTAATCAAACTGAGAGAGCTCTAATGCCCTCTGTTCTTATATCTTGTCATTTAAGCATTTTCCACAGATAAACTCTCAAGAGTTCTACAAATTATACATGATTCTTTGCACACTTGCAATTTTCCTTCTGTAAAAAATTTTAATCTGCTAGAAACCCCAGTGAGTCTAACTATAAATAGCTGGAGACCTAGCTAGGGATGCAGAAGTAAGCTGATTATTTGGGCAAATTTACTAGGAAAAGCATTGTAAAACACAGTCATTTATGTGTTATATTGCTTTTTCTTCCTTCATGGATCACAGATAATTTATCTGTTTAGAATATTCATATTTTGTTTTCCTGAACATAATCTTTATTTCCAGACTGATAACCTTTTCTAAAGTTTTTAAAAGACATTTTAAAAAGAAATTAATCATATCTCACCACAAGACTAGGTAGCTGAGAGATTAAGCATACTGTCAGAATGCATGCATTCAGATCACGACCCTGATGCTAGCTAGACAAGTTACTTTATCTCTCTTTTCCTTGGATTCCTCTTCTTTAAAACAGGAATAATGCCAAGCTCATAAAGTTATCAGGAAATTTAAAAAAAATTATCCATGAATGGAGTGTCTTAAAAAATTATATGGTAAGCTGTCAGTAAATGTTTCTAGTACAGTTGAGCCTTGAACAATACAGGTTTGAAAAGCAAGGGTCCACTTACATGTAGATTTTTTTCAGTAAATATATTGGAAAAATTTTTGAAGATTTATAGCAATTTGAAAAACTCTCAAATGAACCACACTACTTAGAAATATTGAAAAATTAAGAAAAAGTTATGTCATGAATGCATAAGTGGAGATACTAGTTTGTCTTTATATAGGCATAAAGTAAGTGATATTTAATATAAAATTAATAATGTGGTAGTATTATTAAAAAACAGTGCCTACTGTTTCCCAACTTAGAATTACATTACTGTATAGTATACCTCTTTCTCTGGTACTTAGAGAAACTGGGCATCAGTCTATCATCACAGGGAACTGATTTTTTTTTAATTTAACAATGTTTCCAATGAATATGACTATAAGGCCATGCTATATGCCATAAAAACTGTATATTTCATTTATTAGTGTATAGGCCAGGCTATAATGAAACAATTGTATTGTTGCTTCTTTGCTATGAATGCATGAATCATTACATCTGTAACTAAATATGAATTTCTTTTTCACATTATCTTTTCATTTTTGATGTCTAGTGTTATAATATATAGTACATCTGTGGTGTTTTATATCATATAAGACAATATTGATGCAGGTACTGATAGACAGTTCTTCTTATAAACAGACATAAACTTACAATATGGATAAATATAATTCAGATAAATACAGTTCTTTTCTCTAGCCTACTTTATTGTAAGAATATAGTATATAATACATATAACATAAAAAATGTGCTAATAGATTGGTTATTTTATTGGTAAGGCTTTCAGTCAACAACAGTTAAATTCATGGGAGAGTCAAAAGTTACAAGCAGACTTTCAACTGTCTGGGGGCTGGTGTCCTTAAACCCTGCATTGGGTTAACTATATTATTATTATGGTTATAGTGTAAATCAATAAAGGACACCACAATAGACTATTCATTGGATCCAAGTCATTAATATTACAGATATTTCTAGGTTTCAATCTTTTTGTTTTAAATTAGTTTTTTTATAAAGACAGAAAATGTCATTCTTTTTTGCCCCAAATAGTGCCATTCATAAAGGATACTTAAGAGTTTATAAATCAAGTGCCCCTGTCAAATAGTCAACAAGAATCATCCTTAGCACACCACCATAGCAAGAACCAAATTCAAAATTCAGATTACCGTATTTGGACGATTATAGATGAGAACATTATCTGGCTTGTGTTGTCCTATTCTCAGCGCTTCTTCTACAAGTGGTATGTATTCCACCTTCCTTCCAGGTTCAATGCCAAATGATGCTGTAACAACCAGCTTGGGCTACAATGACAAACAAACAAACAAATGACAAAGCTGAACCATCCTAGTTAAGGTAATCACAATATTTCAGGTATAGGCTGACAAACATTTCTTTAGAAATGATTCTGTTCTCTCGTGTATAAATGGCCTGAAAACCAACCGACTATTTTTAAACGTTATAGCCCTAACCACTTCCACATAAATCTCACTTACCTGTTCAGAATTCCACCTTCAAAGATGCTTTAGGCTAACAAACAGGAGCTGTTAAAAAAATACTTTCCAAAGAATTCATTAAGCCAGGCAGATGTAAATCTGCCATGAACCAGTGAAGTGGAATCTTAGAGTCCCCTCACTTGCACACGCCCACATAAGAGCTGGTTGTTACTGAAGTTGTATTTCTTAGAGGGGAGAGACCAGCCTGACTGCTATCAATAAGCATTTCTAAGGCTTTTCATGTAAGCCTCTCTGCTTAAACACCTAAAGTGACCCCGAAGGAAGAGACTGGAATCACTAAGACTTATTTTATGATTCTTTCTCATTTCAAATGCATACTCCTTTTCACGAAGTATTATATTGTAAATGTGTCATATGTTTCTTAGAAGGGCCCTCAAACGATTTAAGTTTCAAGTCCCACCGAGTCTTGTGTCTGCTCTTGTCATTAAGACACACTTGGCACTTTCTTTGCCCGACAATTGGCTAGTCATTCTTCAAGAAATGCGCAGGTGTAGCCAAAAGATTTCAGTCAGTCTTCCCTCCTTGGTAGGTTCTGAGCAGGCCTCAGACATCCGTCTAGAGTCAAGATGCTCCTCCATCCCCACCTCTGCACCGGAAGCTCTCCACAGACAAATCTGGGCCCAGCACCCCCCCTGTCTCCTATGCCTGGATCAAGTTTGTCATAACATAAGGTCTCAACAAAATATTTGTGGCATGGAACCAAAATCCTCAGTAATTTACAAAACAAACATGTCTTTGTTCTTTTAAGTACACTGCTTCTTCACAGAGAAATCCAAAGCAAAGGAGACAGATAAATTATTCAGGAGACAGAAAAATCAATCCCAGAAGGTACATCTATTCCTGAATTTTGATTTCTGGTTACAAGATGTTTCCTCTAGGGAAGGTTTATATTATGCCAAATATATGCATATATAGCACTTTCTAGTTTTCAATATCATCCAATATTCACTGAGGTCCAGTGATGGTGGCAGAGTGAGCCCCAGCTTATAAGTGGTGGAATCAGAAAGAAGGCTAGTTCCGACTGATTTCAAAATGTTCCTCTTTCCACTATTTCAAGCTGCCTTTTAAAAGCAAAAAACAAAAAGGAAAGAAATGAAAAAGTAAATCATGTATCCTTTTATTATATGTTTAAAGGTCAGATATTTGAATATAATTCACATATTAATGTCTGTAATATGTACAAAAATAACTTTAGATAACACTCCCTACGATTAGAATTCTGAATAAATGAAAGTTACACATCAAATTAAAAACATGTATAGAATATATCAAAAGTTGAATAAGTTAATAAAGTCAAGATTAGACTCTTCCTCTAGAAAATCATTCTTTTTGCATTTTTATTAACAGTCTTTTATTGCAGGTTTTATTCCATTTCAATCAGAATACATTCTTCCCATCTTCATCTATTAAAATAAAACTTTTCTCAAGCTATTTAGATGAAAATCATGACATCAAAATCATTCCTGGTTTCAAATATTAACTATATTCAAATATTTCAGGTATGTATTGCTGTCTCCATCTTCTCATCATTAATTTGACTTGCTCAAAAGTCTTGTCCGTAAGAATACAAACTTATTGCCTAAACTCCTTAACAAGATTAGGGCGCATGTGTGTGTGTGTGTGTGTGTGTGTGTGTGTGCATTGTTATGAATGAAAAATGCCAGTGATGCAGCATAAGTTTTATAAATTCTTATTATGTGTGTGTATATATATTTTTCCCCATGTCATATAAAAGCTTTTTCTAAAAAAACAGTGCATCTCATGTGTTAGTTGCCCAGCTGTGTCTGACTTTTTTGATCCCATGATCTGTAACCTGCCAGGCTCCTCTGTCCATGGAATTCTCCAGGCAAGAATATTGGAGAGGGGAGCCATTCTTTTTTCCAGGAGATCTTTCCAACCCAAATGCCCAAAAACTGTTCAAGACTTTCTGTAGCTAAAAAACTAGAGAAGTCTCCAACTGCCCATTGATTTGCAGATCAGTGACACATTTCCCCCTAGACTTCCCTTCAAAGGACTAACTCAACATGTTTCCAAAAGGAGAGAGGAAAAACAGAAAAGCCAGCCAATTTGTGTGCAAACCAGCTTCCTAGTTCTAATAACTGATCTATTACCAGATGAAATCACATGTGTAAAACCTTACTCCCTGCCTAGCGCTCAGGGGACCCTCAGTGTATATGAGTTCCCTTTTTGTTACGAATGTCTCATCCTGCGCTTGTAAAGCTCTCCAGATCAATCATCTCCTACTCCCATAATGGCAGTCCTTCTTTAACCTTCCCACTGCTATTCCTCTCCTGTACATTGCTCTCTGGCCACTGATTCACAAAGAGACCAGCGACCAAAGGTTCCCATTCCAGCCTTTCTCCTACTCACACCATGTTGCAAGGCTTGCCTCCTCTTAACATTGCTCAAAACACGACAGTCACCTGCTCAAAACCTTGGTTGGTCAGCATCTACAGGATGCAACTCAAACACTGCCTCTGCAAGCTCACTTTCTCTTCCTCTTCGATCACACGGATCTATTTGCTGTCCTTCAAAAGGATTTTACCCTTTCCTGCCTCTAGAACTAGCGTCTTATTCTTTTTCTCACCTTTTGGATCTGACTATATCATTCTTTTCAACTAGCTGAATCATAACCAAGATATTATATAACTCAAATCTCACCTCTTTTGGGAAGCCTTCTTCAGCCACCCCAACTAAGAGATATCATTCCTGTCTCTAAATCTGCAAACTATGATTCAGAGCCCAATCCTGCCCAAATTACATCCTGTAAAGCGTTGTTGGGACACTGCATGCCCTTCGCTGCCGTAGGGCTTAAATGCTCCAACAACACAGCTCTATAGTTTCAACAGAAGCTCACATGTCCCACAATGCCTAAAATATTTACTACCCGGTAACTTACAGAAAAAAGTGTGCTAATCCCTGCTCTAAATTCATAGAATAATAACAGCTAACCTTTTTTTAATGGGTACTATATGCCAGACACCATGTTAAGTGTTTTAAATTCAATATCTCAATGATCTGTCACAGCAGTCTTTCAAGTTTGTGATGTCAGTACCCCATCTAAATGTATAACTTCACCCACCCCTGACCCTCCCTCTTAACCACAGTGCTATATACCACCATTTGTGGAAATGTATAAGTTATAAAACTAATCATGGGCCCCTAGTTCTCCATGTGATAAGTGTCATTTATTAACCAGTTCCAAGGAGAGTACCAGACATAGAGTGGAAGCTTAATGAATATATGCTGAATGAGTATATTAGTTATTATTTTTCTTAAATGTCTTATACATCCAAATGTAAATGGCAAGTTAACTTGAAAGACTTGTACCTTATGTGTTACACTCTTCACAGTATCTAGAATGATATCTTTCACATAGGACTGACTCAAAATTAAAATTTTTGTTAATAGTGCATGCCAAATAAAAAGTCAACTTTATCTCATTTGAAAGAGGGTCTAGTAAACACAATCACTCTTGCATGGTTCATTTGCAGATAAAAACAGCTGGACCATATGTGGTTAGGGCTTGATTTCCCCAAGTAAAACACTTACCTTCGCATGATCAATGCGAGTGCTTAGTTCTTTGGATGCAAATCCCCCAAATATGAGACTGTGGATGGCCCCTATCCTGGCACAGGCCAGCATGGCATACATCGCCTGTGGGATCATGGGCATGTAGATAACCACGGTGTCACCCTTCTTGACACCATGCTTGACCAAAACACCAGCCAGCTTAGAGACCTGTAACAACATCATCAGATCAGCAAAGTGTCCTCTGTATTAATTCACTAAACTTTTAAGTTACAGGAGTAACCCTAGAAGACACTCACCCCATTGGTAGTGGATCATAGAAGCCTGAGTAATACATATTGATGATGATGATAAGAGTTTAGATGGTGACAATAACAACAGACATTTGGACTATTGTAATAGACTACACGGCTTCCCTGATAGTTCATTTGGTAAAGAATCTGCCTGCCATGCATGAGACTCCAGCTCGATTCCTGGGTTGGGAAGATCGGCTGGAGAAGGGATAGACCACCCACTCCAGTATTCTTGGGCTTCCCTTGTGGGTCAGCTGGTAAAGAATCTGCCTGCAATGCAGGAGACCTGGATTCAATCCCTTGGTTGGGATGAACCCCTGTAGAAGGGAAAGGCTACCCACTCCAGTATTCTGGCCTGGAGAATTCCATGGACTGTATAGTCAATGGGGTCACAAAGAGTCAGACACGACTGAGCGACTTTCACTTCACTTCACTTGACTACAAGCCGATTTACTATTATTATGCCATGTGAATTTCATGTCTTAAATTTGCTTAATTATTCATTCAACAATATTTTTACTGAAAAACTATCATATGCTGCTGTGTTCAAGGTTGGGAAAACAACACCAAAAAACAAAGACACAGGCTTTTCCCTGTGGAGCTTGTATGTTAAAGGGTGATCTGTCAAGTGAGCAGATAAATGAACCAGTCTCAAATTCAGATATATGTTGGGTTCACTGTTGAAGGAAACAAGCATGGATTAACAGGGAAAACATATCCTCAAACATTTACAAGGTAAATAAGACAGATTCTATTATTATTATTCTTCCTATTTTAAATACAAGGTAAATGACACTCAGAAATAATAGCTAACTTTAGGTGTAACCAGAATCCATTACAGGCCTTTTGACCTCATATTCTTGGTTCTTTCTGTTGCCCTAAAAGCAAGTGTATTTTTTCTTTACAGTTTTTAATACTAATTATCTATATAAAGTGACTGCCCTCTATGTTAAGAGCATACACTCAAACTTTTTTTACTTCTAACATGCATTTAGGGACCAAACAAAGAAATATTTCCTTCATCTTAACATGTATTTCTAGCAATAAAGACAAAAATGGGTTTTTCCTGGTGGCTCAGCTGGTAAAGAGCCCATCTGCCAATGCAGGAGACATAGAGAGACACAGGTTTGATCCCTGGGTAGGGGAGATCCCCTGGAAAAGAAAGTGGCAACCCGCTCCAGTATTCTTGCCTGGAAAATTCCATGGACAGAGGTGGCTAGCAGGCTAAAGTCCACGAGGTTGCAAAGAGTTGGACATGACTGAGCACTCACGCAACTCCAAGTCCAAAGACAACATAGATCATAGGCCTACACATGATATAGTTTGTTGCAAGAAACCTTTCCATTACAGCAGACTGTGGGAAGTATGTACAGATTTAAGTGAAGAACTTCAACATTCTTCCATCTAAAAAATACATGCTGAGTTCCCATACATCACACACATTGTTTTCTGATACATCAGTAAACAAACAAGACAAAGATCTCTACCCCCAGTACTAATGTTTGCTTTAACAGAGGATATGAAATAAACATAATAATCATATATTAGGTTAAAAGGTACTGAGTGGTATTTGATGGGGGTAGTAGAGCAAACCAGAGGGGATTAGGGTACAGGGGGTATAATTCTCAATGGGACAATCAGGACAGACCTAAGAAAGCGACACTTGAGCAACGATACGTAGGAGGTCAAGAATAAGTGGCCATCTGTGAGTAAACTATTTCAGGCAGACAGGACACCAGAACGGTGGTGTAAAAGGGATCATATGTGATGTGATTGAGGAACAAAGAGACCGGGGGAGCTGAAACAGAAAGAACAAATGAGAAAGTAGTCACGTATCAGGTCAGAGAACTGAAGGAGTGGTAGGGATCCGTTGGGCAATAGAGGGACTACGCTTGCCTTTAAATGTGACGTTTAAAAGAGTGAAAAGAGGATGCCTAGGAGAAGGAATTAGGCCACACCGCTGTTAGCGGTTCCTTTCATTTCACTCTGCCTCTCCTACTTTTTGAACAAGTTCAAAGGATTCTGAATCCTGCTCATTCTTCCTTTTTCTCTCTATTCACTTCCTCTGTGCAGATGGCAAAAGATGTGGTCAAGGGTAAGGGCTCTGGGGAAATACAGAAAGTAACAAACAACTATCTCAGTGTTTCATCCTGCTATATTGCAAACTACTTTTGTGCTATTTTTTAAGAACCCCAAGTTGCCCAGTAGGAAGTTATAAGAAAAATAAATCAAAGTAACATCAATCATGAACTTAAATTCCTAAAGGAGTTCAGGAACCAAGATAACACCGCAAGTTACATCCAAACATCTCACTGTAAACCCTGCAGAAAGCGGCCACGCTCTGGGATTGCATTACTGGCTGTTCCGTTTACGGTGCAGCACTGGGAGAGACCAGTGAGAAGAGTCTGTCCTATTCACAGCTACAGTCTTGGCATCTTAAACAGTGTTGAATAAAAAGAATTTTAAACCAAAACCCAATCCAGCAGTGATTCAGTAACTTTAAAATCCAGTCTCACTTCACAACGCTGCAAGAAGACAAAAAATTCTGCCCTCCTAAAAAAAAAAAAAAAAACAAAAAAAGCACCTCTCTTCAAAAAAAAAAAAAAAGAAAAAATCTCACAATGGCTAAATATAGCCCCAAGATGTTATTTAAGGTGAGGTCATGTCACACCTAAAAAAGACAAAGAGCCAACATATTAAAATCAGAAGATTTCAGATGCAAAATCAGATTTCCAGGTTCTCTTAAAAAACTGGAAGGTCTAGTCACAGTGGCTGTGTTCTCAAACAACAACAATCAACTGAACCCAAAGATCAGCTGCTGGGTTTGCCATGAACTTGCCATTCCCTAGGGCAATTCATAACAGAGCCTGCATTGTTCTTTCCTTCTCAGTTTAAAATATATCCTTCTACACCCTGTTTATTTTGTCATGTGCTTACACCACAGTTCCATAATTAAACAGATGTGAGTTCTGTCGTTGCTTAGTCACTCAGGCATATCTGATGCTTTGCGACCCTCCGCCACTGTAGCCCGCCAGGCTCCTCCATCCACGGGGTTTCCCAGGCAAGAATACTGGAGTGGGTTGTCATTTCCTTCTCCAGGGGATCTTCCCCAACCTAGGAATTGAACCCACGTATCCTGCAGTGGCAGGCGGATTCTTTACCACTGAGTCACCAGAGAAGCCCATAGAGATGTAATATATATGGTTGACTGATTTTTCTCCCATCCATTTCTCCCATATATACTACCTGCCGGGTTCCTGCAGCATCTGAGTTGTTAACCACGGCCCTGGGACTATCTTGTCCAATGAAGCTGCACTATGTCTGTGTCACCACTAGATGGTGCACATTTGGCCTTGTTAACCTCCCTCCAGGCAGCGAGTCCTCAATGTTTAGATGCTATTCTAACCACACTTGAGTTGCTATGAAGACACACATTTTATATGATTAATAGAGAAAATACCTTTTTGAGTACTTTTTGGGACTAAATGTTACTCCAGCAAAATTTTCCACCGTTACTTGTAAATTATAAAATAAATATAATTAATATATTTTTATAAATATGAAAATGAATGGGGAAGCAGGTTTCAAGACTTCTAATAAACACACTCATGAAAAATAAAATACCAGCTCACAGAAAAAATGGGATTTATTAATATGAAAGCATTTGAGAATGTTTCATTAAAAAAATATTCCTACAACACAAATATAAATATTAGTCAAAACTGATCAAAGAGTATGCTCCACAGAGGAAATCAGCACTTGCTTCAGAAACTGCCAGTATGCCCATCTAAAGAAAATCATTGTTTGTACGACAAAGAAGCATTGGTGTCCAAATTATAGTGAAAAGATAACAATCAGAGGCAACCTCAGGGCCATGTCAAAGAAAATTATATGAAAGAGAAGACAAGAGAAAGCATATTTCTAAACAGCAATGATATCACTCTGCAAACGATGCTTGAATCAGTATCAGAAAATGTAAATAGTTTAAAAATCAATTTTAGGGGCTTCCCTGGTGGCTCAGTGGTAAAGAATCTGCCTGCCAATACAGGAGACATGGGTTCGACCCTGATCTGGGGAGATCCAACATGACGCAGAGCAACTAAGTCCGTGAACCAAAACTACTGATTCTGTGTTCTAGAGCCCGGGGGCCGCAGCTACTGAAGCCCGTGTGCCCTAGAGCCTGTGATCCGCAACAAGAAGCCACTGCAAGGAGAAGCCTGTGGACCACAACTCAGAAGTCCCAACTAGAGAAAAGCCCAGGCAGCAACAAAGACCATGCGCAACCAACATGAAATAAATAAAATTATGATTGAAAAAGTAGCTCTTTACCAAAAAAATATCAATTATGATAGCTGAGGAAACAGTTTACTCAAATTGGATATGAATGACCTGTTCTTCAGACTATACATAATTTCCCAGGGAAAGAATTAAGTACCTAAAGTACCTATATTTTACTTTTAAACATATAACTTAATCACATATTTGGTACACACACATCATAAAGACATGTTTTTGCTTTTTCTTTACTTGTACATACATAGAGAGCCACCAAGAAGGTAAAAATTTATCTCTAATGAATTGTTTTTTCTTTTGGTCATGCACCAACCATGCATCCAGGTAAATAAGTATCTGTGAAAAGAATAAATTATATCAAAACTGCTTAAGATCTGGAATAATACTAAAACTATTTATTTGAAAGGAACCTTTCAAGAATGCAAATATTTTCGTCTAACATAAGAAGTTTCTACAAATGTAACTTTTTAAGACAGTGACTACTTATTGGATATGCCATTGAGATAATTCTCTTTTAAATATGATGCTATATTAAGTCCATTCAATTGTGAGCTTTGCCTTTCAATAGAAAGAAAGTAGAGGTGATGTGATGTTATTAAAAGAAGAGAAATCAACCTTTCCTCA